TGGACCAATGTATCTGTGCAAGCTGTTTTTAGTTGCGTTGGTACTGAGCGTTTTATCTATATTATTGTTAAAACATGATATGGCTTTACAGCCGATGTTCGCAATGGTTTTACATACGTTGGACTAATGTATGTTGCTAGCTGAACAACTTATACTGCTGTTGCATAACCAACTTTTCCTTATGATTTAAATTTAAATATAACTTGACTCATTCTTAGATAGAGCAAGGTATCAGAAGCAATAAGCTATGCAGTTGTCTAAATCCTGCTAACTAACCCAAAGTCGTAACTTAAAGCTCCTTATTTCGTGTCAACAATGCACACCAAAAGCATAAACAGTAACACCATTCATGCGCAACATGGCACTGTTAATATTCTGATATTTTAAAGCTATTGATAGAATCAGCCACTCTTCGGGCTACACAGAGTTCGAGAAACCTTACTATCAGCGAGCCTCAGAACCATTAAATAAGTTTTTGAGTTGTAACCTTATTAGGTGATAACAGGAAGAGTTGAATAAACAATATGAAGGAGACACAAGCAAAAATCTATGAGTAGAGTCAAGAAAATCCAGCATTCGTTATCCTAGGCAGGAGACAATGTAACACAGGTTTACATCTACGTCAGCTTAATAGATGAACGGGCTCTAGGCTAATCAACCGAAATAACCTCTAACGTCTTAGCCGTAGAGGCCTTCTACAAGACCGTAGGTAGATGTAATTAACATCTTCCCATGATGAGTATTTTTATTGAGACATCATCTCTAACTTTTACTCAACCAACTGCCTCAAGGCAAGGGGTTTTTAATTTGGAGTTTATTTTTACTAGAAAGGCAGCAGGGCATGGGACAGGTAGTACTTGGTTACATGGTACCAGCATCAGGGTGATCGTAATGATCCTGAACCTGATTAAAAGAAATTGCTTTGTGTAAGTGTTATTTAAAACATTGATAGGGATATTTTAAAAATGTATTCAAAAAGAATTACATCTAACAGAATGCAAGAGATTAAGATTAAGGTTTTATAGTTGGATCCACTTGTTGGTTACTGAGCTCACACTGCATCAGAGGTTTGAACAGAACACACACATACATAAAGAAACTTACGGGTGAGTGAACACCGCGCCAGAGGTTCAGACAGAACATAAATATACAGGAGTTTGATATGGAATGACCAATATTCAAAATTACTTCAACAACTTATTAGATGTTAGTACATGGCGGAGAAATTACTTTAAATTCTTCTGTTTCCATAAGAACTTTAGCTGAAGAAGCACAAGAATGTTACTACAAAATTACTAAAAAATATTGTTTACAACATGTTCGCAAGGCGTAGATGGAAGATTTAGGTGTAAGATCTAAAATTAAAATAAATTTTTCCATAAGAAGTTATCTTTTGATACTACAAAAATTTGATGTAAATAAAGGTAAAGAAAACCAGGTTTGTGGAGCCGAGCCGGGGAGCCTAGGAGCCGCTGTTTTTTGGTAGAGTCAGAGCCAGAGCCGCAAAAATTGAGCAATTTTTCTTTTACTGTAGATAAACTTCATTAATTGTTTAACTAACTTGTTGAATGAATTATTTATTGAATTTCTATTTTTTCTAAATATTTTTTCTTACAGTTTCGGTCTTGCCAAAACGTAATAAAAATGATTATTTTACCAACTTTGTACTCAACAAAATACTTTAATAGCACTTCTTAATTATTAAAAAAAAAAGTAAATTATATAAAGAAACAGTACACTTTTACACATATTGCTTTATATTATATTTTTATACTGATACTATGCTGTTAAATATTTGGTGGGCGATGTTATAATCAATATTTGATGGGCGATGTTATAATCAAATATTTGGTGGGCGATGTTATAATCAAATATTTGGTGGGCGATGTTATAATCAAATATTTGGTGGGCGATGTTATAATCAAATATTTGGTGGGCGATGTTATAATCAAATATTTAGTGGGCAATGTTTTAATCAAATATTTGGTGGGCGATGTTTTAATCAAATATTTGGTGGGCGATGTTTTAATCAAATATTTGATGGGCGATGTTTTAATCAAAGGTTATTCGTATCCTTAAAATTATACTAAAACATGCGAAAGTTAAATTTGGAACAATGAATTTCGTTTTACAACTTGCCACTAACACATTATTAAACTTTTCTGTAATTACATTAAGTAATTATAGTATTAATTAAAAATATCAACAAACGAGTCAAAATGTTTCTCTTAATTAAAATGTCATTAAAACAGGTAAAAAACGAAAAAGAATTCTGCATAAATATATCAAAAATCCTTCTGCATTGTTACTTTCAATCACTAAAGCATCTGAATATAGAAAAACTGCTGTTTGTATGGTCATAAAACAATACAAGAGCTCTCTATCTATCGAACGACCACAAGAATCTGGAAGAAAGAGTGGTTTTAAGGATAAGAAAGCAGCTATTAGTATTCGACGAGCATTCACGCAAAATCCCGGCCTATCGAACAGAGAACGAGCCGAAAGGTATAAAGTTTTAAAGTTTTTTAAAAATTAAAATTTGGCAAGCAATATGCAGCTGCGGTTTGAGATCTTGAGCTTTTGTCACATCGTCAATTTAAAACTCAGATGTTTACATTAAAGAATACTTGCAAGCTAGACTTGCAATTGCAATTGAAGTCACGATGTTCCCTTTTGGTTCTTTTCTAATCTTGCTTCTTGTCATTATTCTAAAAAGAGTGGTACAATTCGAGAGACATCGAATTCATATCAAAAAGCTTGAATCCATCAATCTGCTCACAGTTCCGTCCCATTGAGAAATTTTGGGAAATCAGCAAAGAATATTTGCGTAAGAGTGGCAAAAAATAAGTACAGCTAAAGATTTGATTAGAGAGGGAACTTTAGTATGAAAAAATATTGCCCAAGACACTGTGCAGAAATTGATGTTGTCGAATTGCGTAAATGTTCGCTTATTTATTTGAAATAATGAAAAATACTAAAATAAAAATCACTTTTATAATCTTTAAGTTCCTTAGATTAGAATAAATATTTAAGTTTTTGTTTTATTTATTTATTTTTTTTGAATTTTTCATTGTTTTAAATTTAACAATTGCATGTTTTACCCAGCGGGCACGGGACATACAAAAGAGGTCTTTTAAACGTCTTTTTAACGTTTTTGATGCCTTTTGAACGTTACAGACGTCTTTGGAACGTTAAAAAGACGTGTTTTTTAGGTACTGTGCCCCGTGGGTAGAATTAGAACTAAAATTTGAACTTAAAACTCTAGTTGTGGGTAAATAATATATAGAAAAAAGTGTTTGTTTACCTAAAAGATTTTTCTTCTCAAACATAATATTTGGTAATAGAGTAGTGATAGTAATACAATAACCTTGTAATCATGAGAGTTGGTTAAAAATGAATTGCTGAAATTGGTTTGGATTTGGGTTGGCAAATGTGATCAAAATAAATATTTCAAAAGTTGCGATTTTTTTTTTCATAAAGTTCAGGAGCCGGAGCCGAGCCAGGAGCCGAGCCGGAGCCGGATATTTTTTAAAATCCGGAGCCGAGCCGTAAAAAAAACATTCGGCCCCACAAGCCTAAAGAAAACACATCAGATAAAGACAACGTTATTTACTACTTGAATAAAATATTAAATATTAAATATAAAAGTTAACAACAATAAGGATACAAAAAATGATAGTAAATCGAATAATTTTATCTAAAGAATACAAAAAACTTTGGAAAAAAGTTAAAATGAAATTTCTTTGTGATTTTTCCTTAAAAATTATTTATTTGAATTTTTAAAAAATAATACGCGAGAAGCTGTGGAAGAGCAAGTAATCATTTGCCTAATATTTTTGAGGAACTGCTTTTTTTTTTTATCTATGAGTATTTTCTATAAATTTTTTATTTAGAATTAAATTTTAATAAATTATTGCTTATTTTAGAAAATATTTTAGTGCTTTTTGTGTCAAATTTCTAAAATGACAAAATTATATGAAATTTTAGAAATATATACATTAATAAATGTATTTTTTGAAAAAATATTATAGCTTTGTGTAAATAGAGAAAATAATTTTGTCTTATAACTTATAACTTAACCCTATTTTGCAACTTTTTATTTTTTTTATTTTGCGTTTAATCATATTTGTAAAAACATCTACAAATAAATTATTTAACTTTTGTTGAATAAAACAACACCGCTATTTACAATGGAAAATTAAAAAAATATTATGTCAAGATAAGATTAGATTCTATCAGGAGTTAAAACAAAAGACATCGCTACCAACTAGGTTTAGATTCCATAGAACAAGCTATTAAAAGATTCCATTTGTAATTTTTTTTTGTTTTGGAAAAGATGTTTTCAAGAGCGATATGATATCATACAGTTTGAAGAAAATGGATAAAATAGATTGACAAAGAAAAAAGCCTCATACTAAAGTGGGTTTCTGACAATCAACTTATCAAACGGTAACAAAAAAATCATATGACCAGAAAACCCTAATGAAATACACAACTACTTTAGATAAACTCATGATTTGTTTAACAAAATAGTAGCTACAGAGAATATTATTTTGAATTTTACCTATTTAGATAAGGCCGACAACACCGTGGGAGCCAGGGAGCACTCCCCCTATTTTTTTTTTTAACTCTTCAAAATTTGGTAAAACCTAGCTTGACTTAAAATACATTCGTACTTTTTTTTTTTTTAATTTAAATAATTTATATTGAAACGTTTATCAACTTTTTATTATCGCGCGTTTAATTATTTAAAACCAAGCTTTAACGGTTTTTCTATCATAAATAAGTAATTAGTTCTAACTTTATCGCCGTTGAAATAACAAAAAAAAAGCACAAATCTTCACGCTAAAACTTTATTTTCCAGCGTAAGTTGGTCTACCCTACATAATTTGCCTGTGTGCTGGTTTAAACAAGAGAATATATTAGGATGAATGGAAATTATTTTTCCGTAATTTTTATATAGCTATACATCTATATAGTATTATTTATTATTAATTCATATTTACTTCATGTATTCCAAATTGTGTTTCTATTTGCAAAAAACTAATAAGAGCAGAAAAGCGTAGAAAAACAAGACATTTATGCAAAAATTAAGTTACATAAACTCCAAACTTTTTAATTTGAAGTTCTCGCGTGGTACTTCCTTAATTATAAATAAATGTGAGTTTTAAATTAGATTTTTTGCTTTATATGTCGCAATCAGTGAAATAAGTTTTATATATATATATATATATATATATATATATATATATATATATATATATATATATATACATATATATATATATATATATATATATATATATATATATATATATATATATATATATATATATATTAAATAATATTTATTAAGTATTATGATTTATCAAACCTAAAAACTAAGGTTAGTAAAGTGGCATGGTTAAAAAACGAATCTTTATTTTTTCAATAGAGTTCGAGCTTATTATTTTCAACATGTTAAATAAATAAATGTCATATGGAAAGAAGATAAACCAATTTAATAACCGAACGCTGCTACTTCTTCGAGGAGGGTATGACTTTTTTTAATCATTATAAATAACATATTTTATGAATTTATTTTTACGGGGTTTCTATACCTACAAAACAATGAAATCTGCTTTTTTCTAATCAGCATGTACTTAAAATACCAACAAATAGTTTGTCTGAATTTGAAAACGTTAACTTTGATTTAAACCAGCAGGTGTTTCCTATCTACTCTGTCTCTAACCTTCCATCACAAACATAAGGTTTTATCAGTCAAATTGCATACTTAATTATCTTTAATGGGTAAATAAAAAATTATTAAAAATTAGTCAATTATAAAATTCAAAATTTTATGTCAAATTTTAGCTAACTTCTTATGCATTAGCCAAATTGACATGCATTTAATAATATTTACAGGATAAAATAACATTGATTTTTAACAAATTATAAAAGTATTAAAAGTTAAAGCCTTAATTTTTTTTTTAATCATTATTAATTTTTGCATTTAGTTCTGTTCTGTTTTACTTTAATGTAGACAAACATTGTTGTTATAAGATTGGCTCGGGTTCAAATGATAATTTGATCGGCTGCAGAAAAGACTCTTTTTTATAAAGCTAATGAGCCTGGAAGAGGATACATTTTCCTAAAAATTGATGCCAACTTTGTATATTGTGGTGCTCTGCTCTTCCACCACTGTAAAACATCAGTTTCTTTTGCTACCAATGTAGATTAAAGATTCTTTTCCAGTACTGCTCGAATGTCGCAAGTGTTTTAGAATTTCGGTTTGGAACTAAGACCATCCTGATTTAGAGTAGCCAGAGTTTGGTAGAAATAGAATTCAATCTTGTCAAAATATAGAATATTAATAGATGCTCTTATAAAACTAAGGGTGAGTCAATTTTCCTAACAGACGAGTCTAGATCATGTTCAATTTGAATACATAATTTAATTACTTCAGTCTGAGAGACTTTTTTTTTATAGCAGTCACAATTCTCTCTCAAATCTTTAACTCCAAAACACAAACCTTGTCTTTCAAGGCTATTAAACGGAAAATGTATATATATATATATATATATATATATATATATATATATATATATATATATATATATATATATATATATATATATATATATATATATATACATATATATATATATATATATATATATAAAATACATTTTATTTTTCAAATTTAACTGAAAGTTAAATGAAAATTTGCAAATGTTACCGAATTTAACTTAAAGTCAAATTTCTATTTCAAATTAGGCACCGAAGTTAACGTTGAAGTCAATTTTGTCATTCAGTAAACTTCGTAATCTGAATTTTAACAAATATTCGTCGGTCCTTACTCTGCAGTTATGTTTTAAAAGAACAAAACAAGTCTAAACAGCGTCAGAACATTTTCAATCAAGTTATAAGTCATGCTTTGATTTTAAAATTCAAAAACTTTTTATATTGTACTTGATCTATCATGATTTAACAAAACTGCACTTTGTTTATAAACTTAATTCTAAATCTTGATACAAAGAAGTACATTTGTAATTAAACAAAATTACATTTGTAATTAAACAAAAGTATAGTTTATACAACAGAATTTATTTTTAAACGAATCAGAATGCTAATTTTAATAGCGTGTAGTCAATGACCTTATCCAATTTTTCCATAATCTGCAAAAAAAAAAAAAAAAAAAGATCATCAGTTTAATATTAAGCAGGTGGTAGACGTCATAATACAAACATTTATATTAATATGTTTTACCGCGTTACTTTCAGGAACTGACAGGGTTTAAATATCTTTCTCTTTCTCTCTAGTTTTATATTTTATAGAAAACGCGATCCTTGCTCAGGTGTAAATTAATTTTAAAGATAATTTAAATAAATAAAATAAATAAGAGCATAAAGCGAGAATAACAAAAAAACGAACTTTTTATAATTTTCCAAAAGATATACATTTTTTCTGAGTTCAATACTTTGTTGATTACATAAGATGATTTAGAAAACAACTTCTTTTGCTTGAGTTTTAAAAAAAATTTCTTATTGCTTACACAGAATTTAAAACTTTTGTAAAGTCATTTTTTGAATTCCATTATAAAGGAATTCAAAAACCGGCAGAGCGAGACCCTAATTAGGGTCTTGCTCAGTCTGTTTTTTCAAATTATTTAAAATAAAATTTAAAAACGTCCTTTTTTCGGACATGATTATAGATCAAAAGAACTATAATTGAAGATTGTGTTAAAAGTACAAAAAAGTGTTAAAAGTATTCAAGTCACAAAAAAATCATTTTGTGATAAAGAAGTTCGAATTTTTAAACTAACCTTGAAATAAGGCAAGAGATGCCAATACATTTCTAATAGCCGCTAAACATTTACATTATTATAATGAATAAACCTGCTTATTTTAAAGTTTTAAAACCTCATCTTTTAAAAGATATGTGTAATTTATTTTTAGGACTTAAGTACTTTTTGTCCTAATACGATACTTAGGTACTTTTTGCACCAAAAATAAACACTAAACTAATGTAATTTTTCAACATATATTATTTCTATAAAGAATTAAGTCTATTATACATCTTCAATGTCACTCGTGTCTCCATCTATATCTATGCCATGAATATTACTATAAAAAGTAACTCCTTCTGGAAGATTGACATGTGTTAAAAGTTCGCAAATATCATGAAATTTGGCAGTTTTCACAGGCAGAAAATACGTATCCTTTAGTTTGAGTGAAAGGAAAGTTAATGTTTTTTTTACCACATTTGAAAGTTTTTATGATATTGGAACATTCTCATGTCATAGAAATTTGACTAATGGTACCTTGGCTTGTTCAAGTTTTGCTTCTTTGAACTCAATAATTCCAGTTTCTGATTTTATCAAGGAATCATAAGTTTTTTTTATATTTAAGTCAAGTATTTTAACAACTGTGGTTCCATCTTCAATCATTTTGTCTGTAAGAGGATGTTGCACATGAACAACATTAAATGGTTTGCTGGTACCTGTATTCTTTACACGTGATATCCACTGTAAAAGTAAAATTACATTTTTTCAATGCACCCAAAAATCTGATCGAAAGGCATTCGGTTATGTTCTGGAAGGGGATACTTTACATAGGCTTGTGTTATAGAATCATTCTTATTAAACAATTTTTTTATATAGGCAAAGATGGTAGTAGGTTTTTTTCTGTAAAAAATAGTTGTCCGTGAAAATGATAATCTTTATAGTTGTAGCTGAAGGACCAGAAATGTATTGATTTAGACATGAAATTACTTTAATTAGGCCCTTACCTACAAAATGCATGTGTGCAGATTTATTTACATTTTCATAAATGCACAGATTGTGAACCCAAAGTTGACCCTCATAAAACTCTTTTCCAAACAGATCACTGTAGTGTCTTTCCTTAGTTTTGCATTTTTTGCATTTTTGCATTTTCTGTAGCTTTGTTGATTTGCACATTAAACAAATCTGCTCTCCTTATGTGAAGCTCATGTTGAAATTTCAGTTTATTTACAAGGACCATATCATTAATAGATTCGGCAGCTTTTAATTATGTCTGAAATTTTGCACACTTACCACATATGTCACTCTTTGGAAATCCAAATGTAATTTTTTAATTTGAAGTTAAAAAAGTTATGTTAAAACCAGTATTTACAATCATTAGGTCAATCATTTGCCTTTAAACATAAGCGATGCATTTCTGCCGCAGTCAGAAATAAATCCAGATATTATTTGTGTTTGTTTTTTATCGGCTGTAATGGCTTTCACGCGCAGAAAATAGTCTAATGTGATCACAAACAAGATCTATATATATAGGCGCGGATGCAGCATTTTTTGATTTTTGAGATACCTAACTTCCAGACATGGAGTAAACTCCAAAAATGCATATGTTTATACTTATATCAAATAAGGATGGTTTGCAAAAAATTGCGATGATTTGAGCCTGGAAACAAAAAGCCCTAAAATTTTAGTCACACTTGCCCCAAACGCGAGAACAACAAGTTGATAAAATATTTTTTCTACTATTCTTTTTTGCAAAGCATCCTTATTTGATATAAGCATAAACAAATAAATTTTTGGAGTTTGCTATATGTCTGAAAGTTAGGCATCTCAAACATCAAAAATGCTGCATCCGCGCCTAATTAGCGATCAATAATTTAAAAATAAAAATATTTACAACAATCGTTAATAAAATTATAGACTTTTGAAAAATTATAAATGTTCACTATTCTTAAATTACCAACGAAGAGGTGCTGCATTATGCACCTCTATACTGGAAACATATGTGAAGAGAGTTTAATTCCGGTTATCTTTTAAAATTCTCTTTAAATGTTATATACATATATATATATATATATATATATATATATATATATATATATATATATATATATATATATATATATATATATATATATATATATATATATATATATATATATATATATATATATATATATATATATATATATATATATATATATATATATATATATATATATATATATATATATGGTGTTAGTCTTCTTTTTTGGCTTTGGATTGAACTTTGGGTAAAGTAGTATTCGCTGTGTCCGCTTTTTTTAAAAACTATGAACTAATTCTAAAAGCCGTTTGGCGAGAAAGCTAAGAAAAAAACTTTTAGCACCAAAATCGAGAACTTAAGTGTTATTTATCCATAAAATTGTATCACTCTTATTTTTGGGTTGATTAAAAGGGGGGCATAGATACATTTTTAAATGTTGTTATTTATCCAGTACACTAAGTCCTTAATGTAAAACAAAATTACCAATTAGTTTGACTTATTCAAAATGTGACTTAAGTACTTATAGCATTAATGTCTTCAATTTTTACAAAGTCAACAAATTAAAAACACGTTTTTTTCATTCAAAGCTACAAGATTCTTGACTTAATAGGTGAAAGTAAATAAAAAAATTAGATGCTGGTAGTATTAACTTTTATTCTTCTATTTCCTTGAGGAATATTATATTGTCTAAATGTCTTTTCAACAGTTAAAATACTACCAGTACCGTAAATAATACCATTTAAGTACTT